TATCATCATCATCATCATTATCATCTGGTTTAAGTCGTTATAGATTTTTAATTCCAAAATTTTTACGAAATCTTTGTAAAAAATCTCGTGAACATTTATTACCACCATTATTATTAACAAAATCAATAGCAACACAATCATCATTATCAAATGGAAGTAATAATAATAATTCATCTTATCCATCAAGATTTTATAAAAAACAAAATTCTTTATTACATTTTCCATTAACTGAACCAATAATACTTCGTACAAGGTAGAATAAAAATAAATGTTTTTCTTATTTCGAATAAAAAAAAAAAAAATTTTTTGTTTTTTCATTTTAGTGTTAAATATGCATTTATTCTTCTTTATTTCTATTTAGCTGATCGTACAGATTTTTTAATGAAAGAAAATTCTCATTTTTCTCGTATTGCTTTTTTTTTACCATTAACATATATTGGTATATTAGGAATATTTTTTCATGATAAATATTTTAATAAAACAACATCAAATCGTTCATCACCAAATCAAACACCAATAACAACAAGTCCAAATTCAAATACAAATTCAATGTTTTCTTCACAACATAATAATGATTATGAACAAATTCCATCACATTCAGATTCAAATGATGAAAATAATACAATAACAACAAATGGAAATAATAATAATAATAATAATAATAGTTTTTTAAATAAAGAACAAATTAATGAAATGCGTGGTTGGATGATGGTTATTTTATTAGCATATCAAATGACAGATGCATCAGGCAAAAGTCTTGTTTTAGCAATGTGTATACAATTATTAATAAGTGCTTTCTTATTTTTATCAGCCTATAGTCATTTTCATTATTATTGGACAACTGGTAATTATCAATTTTTACCATTTATACAAATGTTATTTAAATATAATTTTTTAACAATAACATTATGTTTATTAATGAATAGACATTATCAATCATATTATTATCCACCATTAATATCATTTTATTTTACATTAATGTATTGTATATTAGCTTTTATACCACCTAAAATATGTGCGGAATCAGTTAAAGAAAAACCAATACATTTTATATATTTATTATTTAAATTACTTCTGATGGGTATGTCAAATAAATTTTATAATTTATGTAATCGTGCAGAAAAAAAAAGAGAAACCAATGAATTTCCGTTTTGTGCATGACCTTTCATAATTATAATATAAACGAAGTGAAATTGACTGTAATTGATATAGAGAATATTTTTCTCATCTAGAAGAGATATGAATAATAAAAATATTTAAATTTAATGATAAATAAAATTTAACCTTGAAAGAATAGTATATAATCAAATTTAGGTATCAAAAAAACAAAAACCTTGAATTACTTTTTTTTTTTTTTTTTTGTACTTAGTAGAAATTGTTAATCAAGTTCGTAGTAGAGTATTGATGCATAAATAAGAAGAATTCTTTTCATTTTTGAGTAGTACATTTTATATTAATTTAAATAAATTCTTAGAAAAATAAAAATATTATTTCAACTATTAATTATATTTTGTATCAATAAGAAACAAAACAGATTTAGAGAATTGCGTATTTCTTTTGATATACAGTTCGAATTGTTATAAATAGATTAATCCAGATGGGGATCCTCTCCCCCCTCCAAAAAGTTCTGATGGCTGCTTTATAGAATTATTAAGATAGATTTTACAAACGGATATAGATTTGATTGATTGATTGATCGATCGTTTGACAACAATGTTTGACATTAATAATGATGAATAATATACAAATTGAAAAAAAATATATATATATGATAAATATTTAATTTAGGTATTCTTGTAACAATTTTAAGTATGTCTGCATATTTATTTGAAAAAATTTTTACATTTCATTTATGGAATAATTTATTTACAACTTCAACAATAACATCATCACTTGCTGCTTATGTACAACAATTAGATCAATCGGATTTATCACATAATGGTCTTCATCAATTACATACATTATTAATTCATGATAAAAATTCTTTATATTATAATGAATATAATACATTACTTGATTATATATCAGGTAGTGGTCAAGGTATTGTTGGACCTGTATCAATGAATGGTATATCATTAAATGATAGACAATATTTATATTCAAATCTTCATCGTTATAATATGAATTCATCAACACATTTATATTATGATCGTAATGGTACAATAAATGATTGGTATCATCGTTGGAATTTAGATCGTTATACAGTTTTATATGGAATATGTTTTGCTTTTTTAATATTATTTATTGAAAATTATGATGCATATAAAACATTAGGTATTAAACGTAAACAATATCAACAATTAACATCAAAATTAAAAACAATTTTTTGTTTATTAAGTTTTTTCGGTTTAATTAGTTACTTTATTGTTTTATTTCTATGTTCAAATAAAGCAATATGTGATGAAATACATCCATATATTGTTATATTACCGGTAAGTTTAATTTTTCTTATAATACATATAGCAAACATTTTGCAACATTCTTTATTTTACATGTAATTCTATTCAGGAATATGATTAAAACATAGATCGTTTTTTTTTTCTTTAAAAAACTACATCATTGAATATTCTACTCGGATCATAATTATTTTCGAAATTTTAATAGACTGCTAACATAGAACATATGTATACTTGTGTTATTTTTCACAAGAGAAAATCAGATAAGTCGATTTTTTGATTGACAATTAATAGCATTTTTAATCAAATCAATGTTACATAAAATAGACTGTACCAGGCATTGTAAAAAAAATCAAACCGTTCATCATTTCGTCAATACTTCCTACGAGCAGAGATAGAACCATATTTTCATTATCTTCAGTTGAAACTAAATTCTCATTGTATTATGTTGTTATGCTTAATTTCTTTCTTTCAACAGTCGAAAAAGTTTAATCTAGCGACTTGTATAGCGAACTCATTGTTGTTAAACAATGTATTTGAAAGCAATACTACAAAAATACAATATTTTATTTCAGAACAAAGCATTCACATCAAGTGACATCGATGTTATTTTTCACTTGTATTTGAAATGAGAATGAGTGACAATCCTTATACTTTAAAGATCACAGTAGGTCTTTGATTGATTCTAAAAATTATAATCAAAATGAATGAAAACAAAATTCAACAACAATTTTCGGCTGTCTCGTATTTTTTTTCTTGTAGGAAAGAACACATATTCAGTGTTAGTAGTCTATTAAAATTTTGAAAATAGTTATAAAAATTTGTTCTTGTAATTCGAGTAGAACATGCAATCAGGGCCGTAGGCAGGGGGGTAGCTGGGAGGGCTTTAGCCCCCCCCCCCCCACCAAAAAAAACCCCTGGAGAGGGGGAGGGGGGATATTTTTCGTGCCCAGCGGGAAGGGTTATTTTGGTCAGCTCCGGCCCCCCCCCCCTTTAAAAAAAGGTTAGCCCCCCCCCCTCAGAAAATTTCTGGCTACGGGCCTGCATGCAATGATGTATCTTTTGAAAAAAAAAACAACGATTAACGTTTTTATCCTCATAGAATGTTGCAAAACGGTTTGCTACATCCAGTATATACATATATATATATCTATAAAAATTTTTTTTTGTATATTTAAGATTGTAAGTTATATTCTTCTAAGAAATATTCCAACATTTCTTCGTCAACATTATTCACCATTCTTTTCATGGTTTGGTAGTATATCATTAGAATTATTTGTTACACAATATCATATATGGCTTGTTGCTAATGGTCATGGTACATTAACGGTTATTCCACGTATGCCAACATTAAATTTAATAATAACAACTTTTATATTTATATGTTGTTGTCATGAATTACATCGTATAACAAATATTTTAACACCTGTTTTTGTACCAAATGATTGTAAATGTTTTATACGAAATTGTCTTCTTTATTTATTTATTATTATTGTTTCATCATATATGTTTTCTTCAGTTTAATATGCAAAAGCTGAATGATGTAAGATGTTAAACAAAAGAAAAAAAAAATCAAAATTTTTTGCTGTTTGTTTTTTTTTATTATTGTTTCTTCTCCGAGATGACGCAATACTTTTTTTTTGTCTCTCTTTTTCTCTTTTTTTTTTGTCTCTCTCTTGATCGGTCGGATATGTCTGTCTTCTTAATCTGCTTCGTCTTCTTTTTCTTCAACATGGTTTTTTTTTTTTTGCTATGCCCCGGTGTGTCGCTCTCCGATTTCTTTTTGTATGCATGACTGCTCTATGATCCTCCTATAGTATGGTGTTTTCTTTTCTTGTCTTTTCTTTTTTTTTTTTTTGTTCTTTCATATAACATCATTATTCAAAAAGTTTTTAAGAAAAAAAAAAGTGAGAATGACACACACACGTCTATAAATGTTTATTTATTTTGTGGAAAATGGAATAACAAAGAGAATATATGTAGTCTTTCGATCTATTCGTTTCAATCAATAGAAAATTTATCTTGATTATTTGATCATATTTTTGTTTTTTTTGTTAAATGAACTTTTTTGTTTTGTTCTGTTCAAAAAATTTACACTTCTAACAATAACTGAATGATGTACAAGTTTATTTCATTCCTTATATTTCAAAGAATATGATAATCACATTGAAGAATATCTTGAGTCCATGAAACAAAGTCAGTTGATATACTTTTAAATAATTTCTATAATTGAATCTTTGTTTTTTTTTTTTTCTTCATTTTAAAGTTCATCTCTTGTTATGCAATGTGGTGTATAACAGCTTGAAAATATTTCATATAAAAAAAGAAAAAGAAAATTTACATCAAAATTTATATCGTCCAAATTTCTAAAGTAGTAAATTTGAATTAAACTTAACAAAAAAAAGCACATATATATATATATATTTAACTTTTGTAAAGTTTAGTTAGAAAAAAAGAGAAAATGGAATTTGTTATTGTTATTCAAAGTTTAATTTAAAAAAAAAGAAACACAATTTTCATTCTCTTATTATTATGTTTGTTCATTTGTTTTTTCATTTCTTCTAGATCAATGTTTATTTATTTGTAAATAAAAAAAAAAAAAAGATGCCTCTCGATGGAAGTAGTACTGAATTACTTAATACACAAAATTCAACTAAAAAAAAACGTTCACAGAAAAAACGACGACAAAATCGAAAATTAAAAACAAGAATTTTAGTTGAAAATGAACCTAATAGTCAATCATCTAATGGTATAAAAAAATACTCTTAATTTTTTTTAGTTTGTTTTGTTTTCTTCTAATAACCAAAAACAAAAACCTATTTATTTATTTATTTATTTAGTAAATCGATATGAGTTAAATAAATTAACACCAGCTAATCTTGCTTCACTTCGATGGGATAATGTATTAAATGATCCAATACTTGAAAATGAACGTGTTGAACGTTATAAAGAACTTCGACGACAACGTTATATAGATGCTCGACAACATGCTATTCAAGCACTCGTAGAACAAATGCAAGTAACTACTACCAATGATACAACAAATAGTGTTGGAAATGAATAACAGTAATTACAAAAAAAACAAAAATCAATGAACGGTGATTTGGAATTTTTCTTTTTTCTCATTTTAACTTTTTATTGTCGGTATTTTTTTTTTGATATTTCATTTATATTTCTTTTTATGATATATTTTTTTTTTCTAAAATTTTACATCAGAATGAAGATTAATGAATAAATAACGATATTATTTCTTTTTTCGAGATAAACTTACATGTAGACACACAAGTACAAGCAGGCAATTAACAAACATCAAAATAACTATTAAGAGATACAAGCGCCACTATTTTTTATGTTTATAGATGTGTTTATACTGTCTATTTTGCCACCGGTCGAAAATTGTGCGCATCATTGTGCTTATCATTGTTGATGACTGTTCTGTGTATCGTCTGTTTCTTTTCTCTTATTTTTTTTTACATTCTTAATCCAATGACGTATGTTTCTTGTTTGCTCGTTATGTAGTCGAACAGGCGCATATGTTGATGAAAGTATGCAGACGGTAATCAATGATACTTTTCTGAGACATGATTGAAGACATGAAAGAAAAAAAAAAGAAGAAAAACTATTTGAGTACACTTATGCATATTTAGTCTTATTCATATATAGCAAAGATATTTTTTCTGATATTCCATAAACTACATTCTTTGTTTTTTTCTTCTGATATTATTTTCGAATTTTCTTATATATATATGTGTATATATATATTCCTGCTAGATAGAATGAGATCTTAACTGACAATACTTCTGTCCAATTTGTCTTCTAGCACAACTAAAGAAGTTAATACATTTAAGCATTAATATAATGGGTACTACAACAAATATAATCAGAGTATTGTTTATTTCAATTCTTATTGATTTTTTGGAATTTACAATTATTTTACCATTATTACCAAAAATTTTAACTTATTATGGACGTGATACTGGTATTAATCAAGTAAGAAAGAGAAATTTGTTTTTAATATATTTAAAAACAAAATATATATTAGGATTCACTTTATGTTCAAACAATGTCATTTGTTCAATTCATACAAAATTTAACTGGTGCACCAAATGATGCTAAATGGAATTCTGTTTTATTTGGAGGTATAAGAAAAAAAGAAAAATTTATTGAATTTTTCTAAAGACAGAAAAAAAAATTGATTTTTTGTTTTTAATAGGTATAATTGGTTCACTTTTTTCTTTTCTACAATTTTTTTCATCAACATTATGTGGTGCTGCATCTGATCGTTATGGTCGAAAACCAATGCTTCTTCTTTCAATGGTATTATTAAATAATTATATCTAATATATGTCTATCATTTTTTGATGTTGTCTGTTTATCTAGATAGGCATATCAGTTTCATACGCTATATGGTGTGTCTCATTTAATTTAACTATTTTTATGTTAGCACGTGTCATTGGTGGCCTGTCGAAAGCAAATGTTGCTATTATATTAGCTATTGTTTCTGATTCAACTACAGAAAATGAACGAAATCGAGCCATGGTAAGTTTTTAATATTAAGAATATTGAATAAAAGAAAGAAAACAAAGAAAATTTTATTAATTAGTATTAATTAATAATTGAGATTTATTAAATTTTCATTTTAATCAATGTCTATTTTGAAAAGTTTTTTTTTTCTTTTCGGATATAATTTTAAGAAAAAATTTGTTTATTTCTTTTTCTTTTTTTTTTGGTAATAGGCATGGATTGGTGCAGCTTTTTCACTTGGTTTTATATTTGGACCATTACTCGGTGCATTTTGTAGTCAATGGGGTATTGCTTATTGGCCAAATTCAACTATGATGTTTTTTATTGTTCCTGCTGTTATTTCACTTGTATTATCATTGATTAATATTGTTTTTATTATTCAATGTTGTCCAGAAACATTACCAATTGCAAAACGAGTAAGAATTTCTTTTTTTTTTTATTTATGATTAAAATTTTAATTCTAATTTCTTATTGAATTTTTAGAATTCTAAACAAACAACAATAACAGATATTTCTAATAAGATATTACCTTGGCATTTATTTAAATTTACTGCTATTCATAATGTTAAATCTGTTGATGGTAGTTTTTCATTTCTTTTTTTTAAAAATATTTTCTAATTATAATTTTTATATATATTTAGATATAATTATTTTACGTCGATTAGGTTTAGCAAGTTTTTTATATATGATTATATTTGCTGGTCTAGAATTTACAATTACTTTTCTTGTTTATAATCGATTTAATTGGAATAGGTAAAATTATTATTTTCTTTAAAAAAAAACAAATTTTTTTTAAAAATATTTATTATTAAATAGTATGAAACAAGGAAAAATGTTTTTTATTATGGGTTTATGTATGGCATTAGTACAAGGTGGTTATGTAAGACGAATACCACCCGGTAAAGAGATTATTGCAGCTATAAGTGTAAGTTATATAATAATAATTAACCATTTGATTCATAGTTGTACTCTATTAGATGCTATTAAGAAGTTTAAAGTAACATTTATTTTTCGTAAAAAAACAATTAGTATAACAAGAATCATGAATTGATGTGACATTCGATTGTATATATATATCTTTTCAATTTGAAAGTTCTTAAATAAGTTATATAATTTTTGCATGTCTGATATTATTGTAAGAATTGATTCATGATCGTGGTCTTTTTTTTGTTTTCGAACGAGATAACATATTTTCTTTGTAAGAGAATGCAAAAAAAAAGAAACTTTTAGTTTTGTTGAGAGAAGATAAGAAAATCTTCGTTGATCGGAAACTAACGTGTCATAATTCTCAATAATCTTGTTTTTCTATGGCTTTAGTCTTATTTTTTATGTATCAAAAATTTATCTATATATGTAGTCTAATATAATTTCACATATGAATCAAGATTTATAGTTTTACTATCATTGACCGATGAAATAAATAGTTATGTTTTACTAGAAAAATTTTTTCTTGATTATGTAAGGAAATCTTAATAGATTCACATTTCTGATATTTATTCATATTAATCATCTAATAACATTTATAAGATATATATGAATAAGATAAAGTACGTCTAATCTATTTATAAATATTAAAAAATAAACTTAGAATGATGTGTATCATGGGATTTGAATAAGATAAAGAATAATAACCTTCGTTGATCGATCAAAACAAAATAAAAGAAAACTTAAGACAAAAATATACTTGTAAAGCCTTACGAATTCTTCTGTAATCACTTGTGTTTTTTTTTGTGTTAAATTCTATACAAAATAAAAATATCGATTATGCGATTAATTTAAACTGATTTGATATTTATTTATGATAAAACAGAAAAAGAAATGCAGTAAATTAAATTTAAGTTTATGATTGAATTTTTGTATTAAATGATACTTCATCAAGATTTAAAATAATTTCATCATCTTCATGTTCATGATGACATATATCATCTGTATTTTCTACTAAACTATGTCCATCTAATGGTCTATAACGTTGTAAATTTGTAAAAAACATTATATTATTTTTTCTATATAAATAAATAATTCCAAGTATAATACCAATTGTAATAGCAGTTATTGTTATATATAAAGATAAATGTTTAAAATGATATATATCATTAATTTTAATCCATTTAACTTTACTTCTTGATATATAACGATGTAAACATTTATCAAATTGTATTTGTTGACTTTTTTCAATTTGTGTATTTTTCATATATGTACCATTTTGTTCAAACCATGTTATATAAGTTAATAAAAGATTATCATTTGATGTTGATTGTGCACAACGATTAATTAATTGTTGTGTATTATTAATAATATAAAATAAATGTAATGATGATGTAAATAAAAATTTTATTTCAATATTTTTTAATGGATTATTTGTTAAATCAAGAATTTGTAAATTAGGTGATTGAAATGAATATTTTTGTATTAAATTAATTTGATTTGATGATAAATCAATAAAATAAAGACTTGTTAATTTTTTATGAAATATATTTGTTGTTATTTGTTTAATTAAATTTGATTTTAAATTAATTGTATGTAATTCTTGACTATTTAAATTTATAAATAAATTTTCTATTGATTCAATTAAATTATATGATAAATCAATAAATTTTAAATTTTTACGATTTAATAATGAAAAATTTTCAATTGTTTTTAATGAATTATTTGAACATTTTAATTCAATTAAATCTGAATTATCTTTATTTAATATTAAAGTTTTTATATATTGATTTGAACAATCTAAATATTTTAATTTAATTTGTTTTTGTAAATTAAGTTCATTTAAATAATTTAAACTTATATCTAAACGATTTAAATCATCAAATTTTGAAATATCTTGTATATCAAATGAATAAATATTTGTTTTTGATAAATTTAAAGATATTTCATTTGAAAAATCAATATCAATTAAAAATTTTGTTATATTATTAGATAGAATTTCATTATTTTCACTATAATCAATATTTGTTGTAAATTTAAATAAATATTCTAATTGTGTTTGTAAATTTGATTGTCGATTTTGACTTATTGAACGTAAATTAATTGATTCATATAAAGGTTTTGTTGTACGAAAAAGAATTTTATCAAATTCAATTCGATTATAAGCTAATGATATTGATGTTAATTTTGTAAATGTTCGAATATCAATATGATAAATATTATTATATGATAAATCAAGTTGATTTAATTCTGGAAAACGTTCATTAATAAACCATTCAGGTAAATATTCAATATTTAATTGACGTAAATATAAACTTTTCAATTGTTCACCATGACGAATATGATTTGATTGAGTTTTACATTTAAGTAAATGTGTTAGATGATTTTCAATATTATTTGATAGAGAATTAAATTGTACATATGATAAATCTAATATTGTTATTGAATTAAATAAATCAAATAAACAATTTCCTTCTAATTGTCTACCCATATTAAAATATGAATATTGTAAATCAAGTTTACCAGTTATTGTACGTATACCATCAAATAATCGACTTGAATGTGAAAATGTATTTGTATCATAAATATTATTACGTAAAATAAGATCACGTAATGTTGAAGATATTGTATCTAAATAAAATTTAATATATAAATCTATTTGAATTAGAAAAGATCTTCAAATATTTTTGTATTTATAGAATTCATCGTGTCTTAGATTTTTTTAATATAGAGCGATGCGGAACAAACTTTTTTTCGAATCCTGAAATTCCGTTTTTTTTCCGCGTCGGTTTTTCATTCGAAATGTTTCGATCACGAAAACTTTCGGGATAATTCTGAATGGTCCACAGGACGAGACATAGGAGATTTTTTGAGATTCACGACTATCCTATAGATAGAGCATGTCGGGTTCAAAGAGTTTTCGAACTTGGTCGAACCGTCCTTTAAAACTTTTAATGAAATTTCCTAATCAAAATTGGATAGTCGCTTCGAAAATACGAGATAATTTTTTCCGGTTTTGTGTATTCAGTGATTCTCACATCTTGGACATTTATCAGACAATTAGAGCTCATCGGGGCTAAAACTTTCAGACACGCATCCGAAATGCTCTATCCCCAGAACTCTAATTAAATAAAATTATATCTGTCGAATAAGTGATAAATGGAATATAATTACAAAATTTTATTTTGTGTAATTCAATGAGAAGTTTCATAAATTTTGCATTTGACGAACTGTGAAAAATAAGTAATGATTTTTCATCTTTGACAAAAAAAGACAAATTCATTTATATGAACTATAATCAAAATTTTGTCATGGAATATGAGTCGTTTGTTATTTTGAATTGATTTTAGACGTTTCTTTTTTTTTTTTGTTTAAGAGTAATAATGAATATGAAGATTACTTTACATTGATTAATTTTGCTTACGAGACAATCTTTGTCTATATTATGATCGAGATATTTAGACCAATGGTGAAGAGATAGGATCAGCTCAATTTTGAGACTTTTCTTCGGAGAAAAATCAAACAACATTTTTTTTCGAAAGAAAGGATCATTGTCGACGGTACTCTCCCTCGAAATCCGTCACTGATTTCAACATTCTCTTGAGAACAATATTTGTAATGTAAAGGGTATTCTAGAAATTCTGATATGTTTTTTTAAAATTCATTGTTCTCGTATTCAACAAAAGCAAAGTCTTTGGAACTTTGATAAATTATTGAATTTTGTATTGCTTTATATTAAAGAATAATGGATAACATATCAGCACGATTAAAATGAGTAATCGATCAAGAAGGTAATCAAATACGAGAACATTGATAACTATTATTTTGTGTTTCTTTTTATTTCGAATAGTAGGATTCTTTTTGAAAACAAAAATTAAGATGATTAGGAAAGTTGAAAAAGTACATGATAATATTGTTACAGATTCTCATCCATAGTACTAGAATAAATTAATACAATCTATTGAATCCTAGTCATAGATATAAACAAATGACATTAGAGAACAATTACAAGAATGTAAAAAAAAATCTGGTTTTTTGTTGTTTATCATTTTCCTGAGTTCTACTTGAGAGTGTATTTATTTTCTTTTTCTATTATCATGTAATGATTTATGATAGATTTCTTTTAAATTTAGAATTTTCGATAATAAATATATTTAGTTTTTGATTTATGTATTTGTTCAAAACAAAAAAATAAAATAAGAAAAAAGATAACTTACCAGGTGTATTAAGGCAACTTTTATACATATCTGACCCGCTTAAATCAAGTACTTGAAGTTTATTAAGTGGACGAAAAATTTGTGGACATTCATTTGGTATTTGTTGACAACATGAAGATAAATTGAGTATTTTTAAATTTTGATATAAAATTGAATTGAATGCATTTAATTCAATAGAAAAATTTTTTGTTTGACTTGCTAATGAAAGACTATAAAGTGAATATGAAAAACCTGTTAATTGTATTGTTTGATTATTAAATGGTTTTAATGATGATGAATTTGTTAAATCAATTGAAATTATATAATTATTAATTATATTACTATCATCATCACTATAATCATTATCATTAATTTTTTCTTCAACTATTGACCATGATTGAGCATAATAAATAAATTGATTACTGTTGAATGTTACATTTGTACAATCAATAATATAGTTCATAAGTATAAAATCTTCATCACTTTTATCAATTGGTTTACAAATACATTCCGATGGACATGGATATGAATTAATAGTTGTTAAACAAAATAATAAAATGATTAAAAATATTAAAATAGGATTTACATGAAATTTTTTCACGTCAATGTAGATCATATTTACCTTGATATGAAATATATAAAATGAAAGAATAGTGGAATTTGTTTTTCTTCTTTTTCTTATTCTATATTATTATTATTATTATTTCTAACAAAAAAAAAACGACCAGTAAAAGTGCGAGAGGAAAAATAAACGAGAATGAATCGTTCTTGTCTTTCTTTCTTTCCTTCTGTCTCTTTTTTTTTCTTCCTCATATGTTGTTTTGGGCTTTGAGAAAAAAAAATGTATGAGACACGAGAGGAGAACAACCGAGGTAATAGGTCATTTTCTTCCGTTTTTCTTCCCTTTTGCTTTCTTTCACTGATTGAGTATGCATAAATTGATTTTTTTTCGTTATTAGAAATAAGAATATTATTTTGATTTGGGATCACATATCTCAGACAAGATTGTTTATCTTTTTTCGTCCTACTTTTCAATATTAATTTGTTTTTATGTCGATCATTGAAATGAATTCTATTTTTATATTTTCTCTAGGGAATATTGATTTTGATTCCATCATTTATTGTATTGGGTTTTGCTCAAATAAAACTAATCTTATGGCTTGGTTTAATACTTTTTTCAATTGGTAAAATACTTTAATTAAAAATTATTTTGTCTTATCTTGAAATTACTTTTTAGCTTCAAGTATTGTTATTAATGTCATCAATAGTTTTGCATCGAAATATGGTTTAGAAAGTGAAAAAGGTACTATTTTAGGTACATTTAGAAGTTTACAAGCACTTGCTCGAGCTATTGGACCATTAATTGCATCATTTGGTAATATTTTTCTTTTGTATTGTTTTTTTTTTGTTTCGTATGATTCTTTTTTATTTATAGCATATTGGTCAATTGGTGAACAGACAACATATGTATTTGGTGGTTTATTACTCTTATGTCCAGTTTTTATTCTTATTAATGTTCACCAACGTTTTAAACGGATGCGTTTAATGCCAACAATACTTGTATCTGAAGTCAAAGATGATTGACAAACTCGAATAATAATGAAAAATACTTCACGAACAAAAAAAACAAAACAAAATATTCGTATCAAATTTCAAGACATTATTTATTTATTTTTGCTCATTCCATAAAAGGCTTTGTCTAGGCTCTTGTTTTTGCTTTTCTTATGCTACAAAACTTAGTTTTGTTTTTTTTTTCTTCATATTAATTACTGTTAGCTAACTATTAATATATAAACTCTTTGATATTATAAGTGTATTCTTCATGAAACAACTGTGTATATGACTCTGATTTATGGTTTTGTCTTGTTGTCTTTCTATATTTCTTCAAATACAGTTAGTATTTCTCTCGAATATTATTATTGCGTATATACTTAAGTCGCAACTCGTGTGCAAGTAGTATGAAAGCAATATTTTTTTGCGCTTTTGCTTTTCTCCTGTTCTATATTTAGTTGAAAGAATTAGGTAGAAAAAATGAAAGAGGAACAGTTGATAACAAAAAAATATCTAAAGTCAATCAAGCGATTAATAAAACAATGTTTTATTTGTTGTTGAATAGAAAAATTTTGTCAAAGGATATGAAGAAATTGATACGATAGATTTAGATATTAAAAAATGAGTCAAAATGGAAAGTTTTTTGAAATATGTTTTTATGAAAAGAAAAAGAAAAAATCGGTCTATTTGAGAATAGAATGTTAGAAAAACTTTCAAATTATATCATTCGGATTCTATCCAATCGAACTGAAATTTACTGCCTGATGAGTTTTTCAGAGTTTGATGTCTGGAGATTTTTCCATAGGTTCAAGATTTGGTAAGGGTAAGACTAATTAGAAAAATGATTGTTCTCTAAATTAGAGAACGCCACAGTATGATTTTCCTCGTTCTATCCTACATTCTGCAGTACATGTTCACTCACAAGGGAGTCTCTTCAAATGCCTCCCCTTCCAATGGCAATGATTTTTTTTGTGTCTATAATTAGTACATAGTGTTCTAACAAAAACTCCGAAAGGATTTGAGTTTATATTAATATTTGACTAAGCTATCGAATTTTTAACATGTGTATTTTCTCGATTCTAAATTTTTGGAAAACTCATATTTTCGAAATTTGGTTCATATAGAGAACTCAACTAATTAGATTAGCTTCCATAAAAAAATTCAGAAGTTTCGAATAAAGTCTATTCGAGATATGAGACTTTTAAAATATAGATCCTTTTCCATGGATAGTGTATATAACATGCATTTTTTGAAAAGTTCATACTTCGAAGAGACTTTATTCAAAACTTGTGAAATTTTTTATGGAAGATAGTCTAGTTGAATTCTCTATATGTACAAAAATCAGAAATACGAGTCTTTCGAAAACCTGGGATCCCTAGAAAATAGTCATATTAAAAATTCAATAGCATAGTCAAGTGTCAATAGGAACCCAAATCGTTTTAGGATTTTTATTAAAATACTATGTAGTATCTGTTGGCAAAAAACCATTGAAGTTAAAATGGAAGCATCTGCAGAGTTTTCCTTTCCAGTCAATCTGTTTAGCAGGACAAAGGATGCTTCTACATCCGAACTTCAGCACGATCTCTTCATTGCTTTTTTGACAAGGATATTAAACTTGTCTTTATATAAAATACGATTTCAAATGTCATAGACTCTCAATAGATACAAAACATTATTTACCATAATCATATTAATAAACCTTATCACATGTTTTCCAGCAGAAATGAAAAATATTTAAAAAAAATACTTGACATTCATAAGAAGAGCAAAACAATAATAAAACAAACATAAAGATATAGAATTCAAAATGTAATCAATATAAATACATGGGCAATGAGAAAGGATAACTTGTCTTTTTATTGTTTATTATTAAATTTCTCATAAAAACAAATAAATAATTTTGTCAATTTGACTTGATGATAAATATGTTCGTCTTTAAATCAATGTTAATTTATCTGAGCTAAATAATCTTTCTGCCGAAGTACTAGTCGTTGATACGGCATTTTCTGGCTACCTACTGGTAATAATGGAAAATCACAACGAGTTTCGCTACAAGATCAAAACTCCATTGGATCACGATTGATAAGATGACTTGGATACCCTGTGACGTTCCCTGCTTCAAATAAATATAGGATAGGTAGCTCACTAGATCAATTCAAGGAAAAGACAATTGAGTCTATGGTTTTAGAAGTCTGGTAGGTCACTGTTGGCGCAATCAGACATGTTATGTTAAATAAAAATCATGTTTGTTTAAAACATTCGTTTTTCGAAGTTCTCAATTTGAACTATAGACTTACTTCCCAAGTAGATTATGTAACAAGTCAGACAAATTACAAATCAAGATCGCCTAACCTTTTCGTGAATGAAAACATTTTGATATTAGTAGCATTTTAACAATAAAAAAAAAGCAAGGTTCACTTTATTCATACCATGTCATATTTAAACTTACCATCAATTATCTATTTTGAAAAAAAGTGTTATTTATTGGTTTCAAATTACCATACTAATTCTTTTGAAGAATTCGATAAAAAATTGTTTTGTTTTTGTAATATCTCTATAATCGTTCTCAATTTTATATTGGTATCGAATTGTTTCAAATCGGTTATTTCTTTTTAATTATTTCTATAATCAATGATTGCAACATCGTTTTTAATTTAAACAACTGATAACTTCTATGCATGAAAAATATTGGTTACAATATGCTCATCAGTAAAATTTCTACGGTAATCTATTCAAATAATCACCAGAAAATAAGCGAAATATAACAGATGTTCGTTTGTTTAATATTATTTGAAAAAATTTTCATTTTCTATGAAATCATAAACGATATTATAGTTAAATGTAAAAAAAGATTCAGAGTCTCATATACTTCTAATAATAAATCAATCGATGATAAGTTTAATTAACGACTTCATAAGAGTTCTCTCAAAAATGCATAAATATCGAGCCATAAAATTTCACTTTGGAGAAGTTTCACAGCTCAAGCATGTTATGTTATAAATTTTATTACGATCAACACTCGTTCGATAGAACATATTGATGAATATTATTAATAAAAATATAAACTCATATAAATCTTAGATATTTTTAAAGATTCTTTATCGCTTTGAAAATTTTTACAAAGAATATACTTTTTTAAAATTTATTATAACAAAATACTTCATCATCGATTGATGTTTTAAAATAAATCGAATATATGAATCAAATGTTATTTCTGATTTATGAATAAAAATGTTGGAAAAAGAAACGTGTTAGGTCTTGTTATTTTTTAATTTTGTGTTTGTGATGATAAAACAGGGATTTTTGGTATTTGTTTTGGTTCATGACGAAAATGAATAGTAACAGTATTTTCATTATTAGTTGAAAATGATGTTGCACTAATACGTCGAGATGTATTCGAAGTATTGTCTTTAGGTAATTTTTTATTTGTCAATGATGACGATGATCTAATAGCAAGATCGTTTTTATTAGAATAGTTATTTGAACTAAACAATCAAATAATTTGGTTTTTGTTTCAATAAAAAAAACTTTTTTTTTCTATTACTGAATATCAATTTGTTGTTTTTTATGATCACTGGGTATACGAGGATGATGAGGTTTTTTAGAAGTAAAATAACCTGTATTTAATGAACGAACTGTTGGACGTGCAGTTTTCAAAAATTTTGAATAATTAAAATAATCTCTTGGATCATTTAAACCTAAATAAGAGAAAAAAAAATCAAATTAAAATTCGAATTTAAAATTTTCGTTTCTGTTTTTTTTTAATATATTTTATTGATTTATTAGTTTACTTACGATATTCTGGTTTGCAAAGTAAATCTATAATAAAGAATCACAAGACAAAGAAGAAAAAATAGAACATTCCAGTGTGTGTGTATATAAGAAAAAACAACCCAAATCAAGTGAAAATTTTCGTGCTTATATAAATTAAAAGAAATTCTCTTTCTTACCAAGTTTATATGCTGGTAAATCTATGGTATTCTATTGATTTAGATAAATGAAATAAATAATTCATTAATATACCTGCATTAAAACGTCTAGTTAAAACGTCTACATAAGCATTTGTATGACGTGTTTTTGTATCTTTCATATCATAAATCTAAAATTTTCATAAGATAATAATAATAACATAAAATTATCTTTTTCTCAATATATATATTTACATGACATTTTTCTAATAAATATAATTTTTGACCATGTGTTAATGCTGGATTACGATAAATTCCACTTTGTCTCCAACGTCTATTTGATGGTTCTTTAATATGAAATTGTTGTAAACCAAGTTTAGGTCGTTGAGATTTTTCTACAACATAACGATAATATTGCCAAAGTGATTCAGCAAATGTTGGATCAGTTTGACATTCATTAACAAGTTTATCATAAGTTCCTGTAGCCGATTGAGAACGACGATGAATTGATAATGAACGATTTCGTTTGGTATGAGATGGTCTAGCTGTTTGTGGTCGACCTTAATACCAAAAAAATTTAATATTTTATACAAAAGAAAATCATACTAACGTGATCGTAGCGTCATATTTGGTTCAGGAGTAGAATGATCTTCTGTATTTTCAACTGAAACAAAACCTTTACACATACGATTATGCCAATATTTGTTTTGACCCTGAATAGTGTAAAAAAAGAAAAAAAAACAAACACCAACAACAAACAATATCGAATGATAACTGTAAACATACTTTCGAAATGTCGATAAGGATCAACTGATGCTCTTGGTAAAAGAAGTTTACTATAAAATGATTTTTTTTTTAACCTTGTCTCTGAAATAAATATTTTTTTATAATTATTAACAAACTGTGAATGTTTTGATTTTGGTTCTTGTTCAGATTCAAGAAGAGTTTCGTAGAATGTTTTATAATTTTCTTCGGATGGACGTGTAGTTTCTTTCGGTAAAATTTTTCCTCGTAAATGTGACTAAAGATTAAATAAAAACAAAATGAACAAACAAATAAAAAAAATAGAATTTTCATAATTTATATTTTATCTTTTCATACATATTTATATCGTTGATTAAGTAGAATTAAACCAGTACTTGTATTTGATACATCATAGAAGCCAGCAAATGGACTTGAATAAGGCCATTCGTTCTTTGTTGAATAGCTTGTTCTATGTATTATTCTTATTATTATTATGTCAATATAAGGTTGCTACTGATTATGTGTGAAAATGAAATGCAACAAAAAAAAAAAAAAAACGAAATTGAATATATTATTTACCGGGAAAATAATTTCAAGTATTCTTCACGTGTCTTGCCAGGTCCGATACTCGTATGAGATTCGTTAAGTCTGCCCAATTGTCGAAATATTGCTTCTGTCGACATACACTTCTTCTTTCCTTTCAATAGTTCCTGTCAACAAGCAAAAAACTGCAGTATGATTATTTTTTTCAATTAATTTCAATCTTTCTTTTTTTCTGATTTATGTTGGATGACGTTTCTTTTTTCTTCTAACTATTGTTTTTTTTTGGTTACAAAAAAAAAGTGTTGTTTGATGAGAACCTTTTGATTGATTGTTATATCGAAAGAGAAAAGTGTTAGACAATTCAATGTGTGTAGAAATGCCATTAAGAGCATACATGTATGAATGTGTGAAGCATTTTAAGTATTGGCAGGGGCACACATATGTAATATATTTCATTTATTCTTAGGCTTTTTTTTTTTCTATTTTAGTAAAATGCAATCAAAAACGGAAATTAAACTTATAAAACACGGAAGACAAAAAGAAAAAGAAAAAAATTTTTCTATGCATAACTAGTTGGTGTTCGAGATAATATTTCGAATTTACAATTTAATTTATTATTATCATAATGTTCATGTTCAGTATTAATTATATAACTATCATAATCAGATGGTTGACGATATATAAGAAAGACAAGCATTGTTAAGATAATTATAAATAAAAATATAGCTGGAACAAATATAGCAACAAATATTTGAGCATTAAACTGCCCATTAAATAGTTGATTATTACTGATTGAAGCCGACATTGATTGTCAGAAGTACTTGATACATAATGAATAAGAATATGATGAATCTAAAAAGAAAAAGAAAAGCAAAATAACAAACCTTGATAAATATTTATTTGATATTTACTTTTGTTAAAATTTTTTTGTTGTTTTGTACGTTGAAATTTTTTATTCACGTAGTTATATGTGTATCTTTGTTAAAATGAAATAGAATAGTATTCAGTCGAATTAATATTTAACTTGAACTGAGCTATATAAAAATCGGTTAATCGATCGGAAGAATAAATGGCTATAGGATATAAATTTTGAAAAATGATATTGACTATAACATTTGTACATGCATCGTATGCATGATTATATGTGACATTCTTTTCATTTAATCGATTATATTCCTTCTCTTTCTCTTTCTCTTTCCTTCATCATCCATCCTCTCCAATAGCAAGATGAATTCGTTCTTATTCTTGTTCAATATATATATGTATGTATATATATATATATAAATCGCTACGTAACTACCACTCAGAGAAGATTAGTTCTTACTTGACTCAGTCAATTCATTCACTCAAATCTCATGCCGATCATAATCGATCTACATCCATATACACAATCACATACATATAGCAAATAGAACAACAGAAGAAAAAAAAGAAAACGAGGAAAAAAAAAGCTTTATAGACCAAGGTTATAAAAGAAAAGAAACATATGTAGATGTATTGTTTTACACTTCTGTACATATTTGATGACTAGTCAAACTAAGATTTGGTTGTTCTACAATTGTCAATGATTTGGAATGCGACATTGTTGATCTTGCTGATGAAAGTGATGATGGATTTAGAATTGATGCAGATAAACGTTTTCGTCTTGGTAATGGATCTGAATTTCCATTTAAAGTAATACGATCACTATGAAAACTAATAGGACGAAGATTTGTCATTGAATTTGATTGTAAAATTAAACTACTCTTTGATGTTGTTAATATTGAACCAGTTTGTCTTTTACGTAATATAGAAGGTTTTCGTCGTAGAACAGATAAATGATTAGATGTTGGATTTATTGAATTAATATGATTTAAATGTGCTAATAAATGACGTTTTCGATGTTCAATTATAATAACACAAACTCGATAAAATTGTAATAGAACAACAAGAAAATTTTTTGTTGTAAAAAATATATTTGATTGTGAAATGATTTTATAATGAATTATTAAACCAAGACGAAGACAAAGAAATGGACCATCTTGTAAAAGAATTGTAGTTGAAAGAGCCTAATAGATAATTATATTAGTTTAGATTGTTGTTATTGTTTTTTTTTTTTCTTTAAATAAAACATAAGAGAAAAAAAAACACATTTTACCCATAATTCAGTTTCCCAAAATAATCGACAACCAAAACATGTTTCAATTTCTTGAGAATTTTTTCGTTGAAAATCTTCTGTACGATTTTTACGTGTTTTTGTTGATGTAACAACAAGTGTAAATTGTATTAAACTTATTGACCAAGCTGTTAAAATAAGATGTATTATAGTTAAATTACGTTGAACATCATGTTCTTTAAATGCTTCAAATAATTCAATTATATCCGCTGTTAAAAAAGTAAAATGAAAATATTAATGAAACAAACATCAAAAAATAATTTTACCTGCTGTACCAATATAGACAAGTAATAATTGAGAAAGTTGATCACGTGTCATTGTTTTACCAACAGGTAATAACCAACGTCCAATAATAAGAACAAGAAGAAGTGTTTGTTCAACAATTTGTGTCCACATTTCAGCTGGAATTTTCCATGGGACGAGCTATTTTTAGAAAATAATACAATATACAAATTATCATAACAAAAAAAGAAAGAAGAAATATGATATTGATGTTGTTTTTTTTTTTATTACTGGTAATGTATCTTCAATATCATGTTGAAGAATTCCTGTTGATACAGGAATTAAACCAAGTGCTTGTGTTACATTAAATTTTGATCGTCTCTCAGCAAGATCAAGTTCAAGAAACCATACACTTGGTATAACTGTACATAAATAAAAGAATACAGATGGACAAAACCTAAAATTAATAAAAACCATGATGAATAAGATCATTATAAACATATTTAATCTATGATTACCATTTCCATTCATGACCATTATTAACATAGAGTGTAACAAAAAATTCAGCCGGGATACCAAAAAGACTTTATAGATAGAAGACGAAAAAACAAAAAAAAAGAAAACAAATTAAATGTAAAAACAAAATTCTTTTTTTTTCCTTACGTGATAGCTTGAAACCAGTATTTATTTTGTTTATATACTAATGCTACTCGCCAAATAGCTGCAATACCATGAATAGCAAATAATATTCGAGCAGCTGCTGCCGCTGTAATGGCAACCAATTCGGACATAATCCACTAGAAAACAAAAAAAAAAAAAAAAGAACAAATTAAACTTGTGTTGTTGTTTTTTTTTTCTTTGTTATTATAAATTAGAAATGCTCATAGATAGATCAACTAAATCAAACAATATCAGAATAATATCCCAAAAAGAAGAAAAAGAAAGAATGAGATATTAGATATGATTTGTCCAAACAAAAAGATAATGAGAACAGATTACATCATATTGATTAGAAAGAAAATATCTTACTTTTGCATTCTTATAACGTGAACGATATTTTGATATTTTTCTAGCCATGACGCCATTGAAAAATGGATAATTAAATTTTCTAATATTTCTTTTTTAATCTATACCAAACTAAGGACAATAATAAAGTATCCATGTATAGCAGGTCGTCTGACTGATTTTATCAAATGTTACTGTTTTTGCATATACTAATGGTATAGATCAAAATATATCTGTTGAAGCTATCGTATGGAATATATACTCATTGTATTCATGAATCGATAATTTCTTTTCCCTATTTTTTTTTCTTGTTTTCATACTCGAATTATCGATATAAAACCAAAATAGAACGATGTATCATCCGTTATATATAAGTAGAGAAGTTCTACTCACCTACATATTACATATTATTCATAATTGATCTTGTTATTTATTTAGGAATTCTATTCAACCTCAATGGTTCTTTTATCGGGTCAGTTGCATATTTATATAAAATATATTTTCGTTACATCATTATGATTCACATAAGGCATTCATTAATTAATTTACTTTATATATTTCTCATTATTACATATGCTTATGTGTATGCATACACTTGATTGATTTCAGTCGAGCATGTCCCAAATCGACTAATGTTGTTCTTATATAAAGTATGCGACAAGAGTACTTATTCTTTTCTTGTAGTTTTTTTGTTACTTGTATACTTTCTCTCTCGCTGTATATGAGTATATATCGGTTCAAATACAAGTATAAGTACATACTTAATCGGATGACAACATCTGACAATCATTATTGGCTGATCTTTTCATTCTGTTGTAAGAACACAGATGATATATTATGACCTCGGAAACGGAGAACCAAAGGTTTAACAACAAGTTTCTGTTTTATTTATTATTATTAAAGATTGTTGAATACATTGTCATCTCTATGTTCTATAAACAGATGGTGATCGAATAACTTACTGACAAATGATGTTGCCTATCTTGAAATAGAGGTTGATCAATAATTGGAATCGATTGAAACAATGTTCCTCGACGCAATCGCATTCTGATAATTTTCTATGCCAATTATGATGTAATAATCAATATAAGAATGTATACATTTTTTCGTGTTTACACTCTATCTTCTTAATTTATTTATCGTCGAATAATGAAATATTGTAATAAGTGACGAATAAATAAAAAAGAAAAAATAAACCAAGATCGTGTACATTTATGGATGTCGTAAGAAAAAAAAAAGTGATGTCTGAATCAATTGCTTTTCTTAGCATTCTTTTTTTTTGGTGTCGTATAGAAAAAGCGAACAAATATGAGAGCAGATGGAAAGATGTATTTGGATAATAGCAAACAGTGATTTATTGGATCCATTAAATAATTCTAAGGATACTTGACAAGGAATCATATGGTATCCATCATTTGTTCATTGGGATCGAAAGTTGATTCTTATCACATTGTTGAATTAATCTAGTTTGTTGTTTTTTTTTGTATTTGTCGTCACAATTTGATAGAATAAAAATTTAATTTAATTATTTTACATATGTTCAATAAATGATATCGTTAAAGATAACAGTTTTATGCTTAACAAAAACAAACTATTAGAAAGATGAAAGTTTAAATTGAAATTTTAGCGATATTGGTAACGGAAAATCTTTTTTATTATTTTTTTTTAACATTTCTCAAATTCTAGAATCAAATAATAATATTGTACAAAATGTAGAAGATAGAAATAGAAGATATTTGTAGAAGAAAGTAATAAAAAAAAGTCTCCTTTTGACATTCATTTAATACGTATTATTTATTGTATGTCTTTTGTATCTATATGTGAACAATGATAAATGGTAAATATATTATTTTAACAAATTAGTCAAACAATCAACTAAATTAGTTTGATATTGAAATAATGTCATAGAAAATGTAATACTAGACAAAAAAAAAATAATATATTTTGTTTTTATTCTATGCTCCAACATTTAGTCAATTATCAAATCATCAAAAGAAAACTATTATTCAAGTTCTCATTTCGTTTTTCGATTTAAATTAACTAAAATAGTTAATGTACCATGAATGACTAAGTAGTTATTAGCATATCTGAAATTCTACACTTTCAATCTATCGAACATGGATGACAGAAACATGAATCCAATGATTTATTATTTAATTTTAAAGAAGAAAAACAAATAACTATTACAGATATAATGACATAAAAAATGAAATTAAACTCCTTCGCACAACAGAAGACACCGAATCTTCTATTATGTCCAAGCATACAAATTTTTCAGGAGAGAGTCTTGTATTGTGTCCCATCTATTTTCATAATTCTTAATTAACAGAGTATTTCAAAAAACCAAAAACAATTTCCAAGATTTACAACGAGATTCAGGAATGAGAAAATTTTATGATCGAATGAATTAATATAAAATAGTACAAAGTAATGACACATTCTATCATATAAATATGATAAAACTCTGATGTTTTATTATACGAGGTAATAGACTGTTTTATTGTAAACATGGTCAATCGAACATACAGACAAATATGCATGTCAATGAAATGGAATTCATGCATGAATTGAATTTAACAAAAAAAAAAAAAGAACGTATAGTATGATCAAATGTAAACTACTAATGTCAATGTTGATAAAACAATAACATGTTTGAATGTTTTTATTTGATTCTTATAATGATAGAATACATTTTATATTTGATATTATGAAGTAAATGAAAAAGTACGTTGTAAACCAAGAACTTTTTGTTCATCTATAAATAATGAATTATTTTTAATAGTTAAATCTTCTTCAATAGTTGTTTTAAGATGAAATAAATGTTGTAAAATATATTTTTCTTCAAATAAATTTTTTTGTAAATTATCAATTGAATATTGTAAATTATTAAATTCTTGAGAAAGTTTTAAATATTCACGATCATTTATATTTTCTAATATAGGTCTTAAAGAAAGAAAAGATATTCGACATTGTATTATATTAATAAAAATTTCTTTATTTTGAATTGTTTTTTTCAAAAATTCAATTGTTTTTTCTGTATTTAAAATATTTTCATTAATTTCATTTAATTGATCTTGTAAACAATTACGAATAGATTTTATTTCATGAATATGTTGTTTCAATACTATATCAATAGTTTCCCATTGATTAAAAATATTTTGTTCAATATAAGAAATATTTTTTATTGAATAAATTAATTCATTTGATATTTGAATTTCACAATAAATTTGTTCAATAAAAATCTTCGTACGTTTCAACCAATTCAAATAATTGATATCTCCTGTATCAAAAATGACAAAAAAAAAAAATATATAAATCCGGTGTGAGAAAAAGTATTGCGACATTTTTTGTTCCTCGGATGATAAGACTAAATCTTTATTTTTGGAATTTTAATACACTGCCAACACTGAATACGTGGATCATCATGTTGCTTTCCACAAGAAAAAAATCAGGAAAGTCCATTTTGTGATTAACAATTAAGGTCATTTTTAATCAAATCAATATTAGATAAAATGAACCTGTTCCAAGCACTGTAAAAAACCTAAGCCTTCATCACTTCACCAATACTTCCTACGAGCAGATATGGAATCGGTACCGGTATCATCTTTGCCTACGATATCAGGACTGATTTATCTTCAACGTATTTTCATCATCTTCAGTTGAAACTAAATTCTTATTATATTATGTTGTTAAGCTTAATTCTTTTTTACTATTTCTTTCAACAATCAAGGAAATTTCATCTTGCGATTTGTATATCAAGCTCATTGTTTTTTTTCTTCGAGAATGTATTTGAAAGCAACATAGCAAAGAAAATATTTTATTTCAAGGCGAAATATTCACATCAATTGATTGTATTTTAGATAAAAATCAATAATAATCGTCATGCTTTTAAGACCATATTAGATCTTGAATTGGTTTCAAGCATTATAGCGAAGATGAATAAATAATTTGCTGACTTTATCTTATTTTTTCCTGTAGGAAATAATACGTATTCAATATTAGAAATCTATAAAATTTTAAGAATAGATGTTACTGAACAGAATTACATGCAAAACAAAAAATGTCACAAAACTTTTGCTTGTACAGTCGGTATATTTTTTTTCTTCTTCTCATTAAAATAAATATTCTAACCTGATACATTGTTTTTATAATTACTGAAACATAGTAATGTATTAGTTAAATTAAGTGCAGTATTTTCTAGTAGGAGAGCATAAAATTTATCGTTTGCTTCAATTTCAAGTTGATATAATCTTTCTCGATTTAAATAAATTTGTTTATTAATTTTTTCAATTATGCCATTGTTAATAGAATTTTTTGCATCAATAAGCATATTGATTAATTTTATTAATTCACAATCTACATTATCATGAACAAGATCAATAGTTTGACGTTTTTCACGTTCATATAAATTTTCTTCTACTATTTTAAGGCTTGATATTATACGATTGAGAAAATGTTCTATTTGTTGTCGTTTTATTTCAAGTTCATTAATAGTATCATTTAATTTTTGACGTAATTTTTCAATTTCATTTTTCCAAAAATTAATTTCTTGTTTGATACTAGAACAAGATAGTTCATTTCTTCTATATTTAATTATCAATTAAATATTCATACATGTAAATTTCATTTGTTGATTTCCATTGATTTTTACATATTTGATCATCTATTTCACGAGTTAAATATTCACTTTCTATATTTAGTTCTTTATTATCATTTAGAATTTCATTAGTATTAATAAATTGATTACATTCAAAATTCAACCAATCTTTAGATGTATAGAGAGATGTTTTGGCACTAGTAAACAAAGGTGGAATTTTAATTGAATCAAAATTTTTCAAATAATAACATCTGTTTGATGGATTTGTCTATATTTAAAATAAAAAAATATGTTTATAGAAAATAAAACATAATTATCTACAGGAAAATTGATGATTGTACTTTGATTGCTATTTACTGTATACGAAGGCAAAATAGTTGATCGATAAAAATTTCTTGAATATTGATTATTGAATGATTGTATTGATGAATTAGACTGATTACATTCGTTATTTCTTGATTGATTTATGTACATTTTTAATTAACTATGATAAGAAACTAAAGTCAATGAAAGAATATTGATTTTCTATAATTACACTTTTTTGATCTGTCACAAGTCAATTTACTACTGTCTAGTATATTTATATTTAGTACTAATGATTCATCTTTCTTATATACATACAAAAATAATGGCGCCCTAAATTGATCTATTTATACAAGTTCGTTTGTTTGTTTGTTTGTTTGTTTGTTTCTTATTTTATATAATAAAATCAAACATTTCTATTATAAGATAAAAGTTAATTAGCAAAAAAAATAGACTTATATCATCTCCTGATTAGACAGTTGTCAACTTTGAATTTTCTTCGTCTTGACAACTGCAACTACTGTTCTATAGTGTCAGTTAGCAAAACAAAATAAAAAGAAAACAATAAATAAAAACCCATAAATATTTAAAAAAAAGAAAAAGTATTCCAAAAAAACAAAGTTTTTGTTTTAAATTGTAGATCAATCTTGTAAATTTCAATGAAATTCTATTAAGTCATTGTTTTACTCCAATTGATCGGATTATCAGCTAGTATAGCTCGTTCAACATGCCATTGATGCATACGATGCCATTGATCATATTCCCATTTATTTTCCATTAACTAAAATAAGACATACGACATTATATTTTATTTAAAAAAAAAAAATATATGTTTTTTTTTTCCAACTTCTTTATTTTTAACAGTAAATTGTAATAATAATTTAGCTCGTTCAATTTGTCGTTGTTTTTCTTGTTCGAAATATTGTCGATCTTGTTCAAGAACAACTTCAGTTGCACGATTTTTTATTTCTAATTCAATTTTGTCAGCTTGGACTTTTTCTTCCATTTGTTCTTTGAGTGTTGATCGAATTTGTTTACTTAATATAATGAATAGAAATTGAATACAAAAAAAAAAAAAAAAAGAAAAAACAACAAACAAAATAAATATTTACTTGTACATTTCACGTTCTTCCATATGGGAATATGGATAAGTAGTATATTGCATATGTTGTTGATTCCATTGTCGTTGTTGCATAGCTTGTACTCGTTTATAATTATGATAATGTCTATCTTGAGTTTCAAACATTGTTGTCATTTTCATTGGATCATCAGGTCGACTAGCAATAATACGTTGTGGTGCTACATAAAAATCATATTGATGACGTATATCTTCACGTTTTACAGGCTCCCATAGATAATCATAATCAGGTTGTTCACGAACTAATGGTTTCCAAATTGAATTCAATGTTTGTATATTAGTTGTTTTTGAATGTGGTAATTGTTTTAAAATTTCATCTGATCGAGCAATAATATTTATTTTTGGTGTACGTATATGTGCTGATGGAACTGTACAACGTACTGGTGAAGATGAAGATAATTTACGTGAATAACGTCTTGGTAAGGATAGTTGTCGTTGTTGTTGTCCAGTGAATTCAGATTCATGATGAAATGATTTTGTTCTTGACAATCGTGGTGATTCGAGTGAACGTACTGGTGTAGCTTTAATGTCAAGATATGGTAAGACTGTCATTATTGTTTTGTTTTTTTTTTACAATATTGTTCAATCAAAAATTCATTTCAATTCACTCAAACCTTTTTTCCAGCAATTTAATAAACGTACAAGCTGTATGACAATGGTTCGCTTGTTTCAACGTCAAGTATTAGAAAAAAACATGACTACTAAATTTTTTTTGTCTCCATGTTTTTTTTATATTATACTCAAACAATAACAACAGTTAAACAAGAAAAGTGTTTGTTTGGTTAAAAAACAGACTTTATTCGCGTTGTTGTGATCACCATCATCATCTAATGAATTGAATATAAAAGCTAAAATGAAGTAGAGAAAGAAAAAAGAAATGAAATATTTCACTTAATGTTCATGTGTTTCTTCAAGCACAAAAACATTTTGACGACAAGTTTTAATGCATTGTCTTTTCTCAAGGCAAAATATAAAAACAAAAGAAAAAAAAAGAATCAAAACTATTCATTCTTTTGTTGTTGTTCGTTGAAAATGTTCTGATACTTGTTTTATTTTGATAACCAAAGAAAAGATTATTAGAAAACGAAATTAAAAAAAAAGACGAGAGAGAGAGAGAGAGAGAAAGGTTTACACACAATGTTTTATAAAGAATTATAGAAAAACACGTTCACAATGTGAGTCAATGAATAAGGAAAAAGACAAACATAAAAAATAAAATATTGTCGGCAAGAATATAAAATACGAAGAGAAGATAATGGCAGTATTTAATTTGTTTAACCTGTCATTAATTTGTAAAATTCTATTTCAAAAAAAAAAAAAATATTTGAAAATAAATAAAATTATTAAAAATAAGATATTAAATACGAACCTTCGTAATCAACTGTACCAGAACCATCTTCATCGACTTCCGAAATGATTTGCTCAACTTCATCATCAGGCATGTCGGGATCAAGTGCTTTAAAAATCATTTTTAAATCTGCTACCTAAATAAAAAACAAAATAAAATTTTGCTAATAAAAAATGAACACAATCAATTTTTATTTTCATTATTTTACATCGATGACACCACGACTGTTCTTATCAAATACACGAAATACTTCACGTAATTCTCGTTCATCATCAGCTTCCTTTGCTTTCTTAGCCACCAAGGCAAGAAATTCATCCTAAATAAAAAAAAATAAATAATAATATTATTAAAAAATTTCTTTCTTGTTCTTATTCTTCTTAACATACAAAATCAACTGTACCACTACCTATATACAAAAAAACAAAAGAACAATTTATTATATCATCTGAAAAAAATAAAAAATAAAATCTCCGTTTTAACTAACATACCATCACCATCGACTGCCTCAATACATTCGGCTAATTGATCAGGTTTTAAATTATGTCCAAGATTTTTCATGACTGTGCCAAGAATTGATGTTGGAATTTCACCTTTTTTTTCTTTATCATACATATTAAATGCATCGCGAATTTCAGAAATTTGATCTTCACTTAATTGAAATTCTTGTTCTTCTTCTGCCTATTATATTCATATATAAATTATTAAATTATTATCTTTCAAAACGAGAAAAAACAAAATCCGCGTCACTCACCATTATGAGATAGATATTATTTAGTTGTTAAGATAGAACGTCTTCTTTGGCAAATATCTATTGCTAGTTCCTTCGGGACGATGTCTTCAAAAAGAGCGAAACAGAACACACAAAAAGAAGAGAAATAGAGAGAGAGAGAGACAGAACGTTGTTTATTTCCTATAAATAATAACATAAGAATATTCTACATAAGAATATTCTCGATGGTACTGAATGTGTGCATGCTAAAGAACAAGGGAGTAAATCAACATGGAAATAGCCAAATATACAGCAATCTAGAAAAGAGATAAAGAAGAAAAAAAGAAAGCATGCTATTGAAAACAACAAGAAGAATCTTTCTATGTACACCATACCGCAATATGTATACGAAAGCGGATATATACAAGAAAGAAAAAGAAATAAGGCATCAATATTGTCGTTATACTATGTTAGTCAAATAAGGAATGGCTGATTCTCTTCTTGTGGATACGAGAAAAAAAGAATATTTAAGAAAGCGTAGGATCTGTGCCGATAATAACAATGCCATTAATAGAAGTGTCTAGGTTCTAGTATGGTTGATGCTAATGATAAGAATAGTTGGCCACAGAAGACAAGTTTTCAAATATGGTCACGTACTCGTATAAAAGAAAAAAAAAGAAACAAAAGTCATATAAACAAATTTTTTTGTATGGTATAAAAGAAAGATGCTTTTTCAATAGAAATTTTCTTTGACTCAAATATTATTTTTGTTTTTTCGTTTGATCGGATAGATATTTTTTCATATATTAGTTAGAAAATTCGTATCATGAATGACAAAAAACAATATCATCATCCATAACTATCATATTATCAAACCATGTCTGGCTTTTCTTGTTTAGTTTTCTCATCATATTTCACATACAGTTATTGTTTTTAGGTTATTAAAATTATTCAAAAGAAAAACATCTGGACAATATATATATATACATATTTTCTCTTGCTTTAGCTATGGCATATATATAATGAAAAGAATGACAATGTTGATCATCAAGAAGTAAATCGTCCTTATTATTATTATTGCAGGCATTCAATAAGAGTAAAGAATGAAACAACGATATAATAGGCAATACGAAGCACTCAAACATAGAAACATACAAGAAAAAAAGAATTATTGTGTTACTGCTGTTGTCTTTTTGGATCATGCTAGTAGACTAGTGTTCGCTATCGAAGAAATTCCGATAATCGTCGTATGATGTGCCGACGCGCATGCATTCAACAAATTTCTGCTCTTAGGTTGTAGTATTTGGCTATACAACGATTGAGACCTATACTACTAAATCTCATACCATAGACTGATGGATACATAGAATATGTTCCCGAACGATGCAATTAAATGTATATATTTAGATGAGATGGATATAAACAGAGGCAAAGCATAACATCAAGAATTTAGGGAACAGCTGGTTTAGAAATATATCTTTTTTTTTTCTTCTTCTTCTTCTTTTATTTTCTTTGCTTCGGCTTTATCGTTTTATTAACGATCGTGTGAAAAATCCAATATCTTGTTAGTGTTCTTTTGTTCTCTCTCACATTTATTTATTCATTCATTCATTCATGTTCAACATTATTATTATTTACAATTATTGTAAATACTACTGATGACAATGCGAACAAATTTTATTTCTATTGAACAAGAGAATAGTAATGTATCAAGAATTAATAATTTTTAGTTTTTATGAAAAAATTTTTTGTTTTTGTTTTCTAAATAGAACTAAAAGAAGCTTTTGCTCTATTCGATCGACTTGGTGGTGGTGTAATTAGTATACAAGATCTTGCTTTTGTTATGCGTTCTATTGGCTATGAAACAACACCATCGGAATTAGAATCTATGATTCGAGAAGTTGATCAAGATGGTTCGTTTTGTTGAATGTAGAAATTAATAAAATGACATATTTCTTTTCCTTTTTTTTTAATAAATATTTAGGTAATGGTCTTATCGATTTTGATGAATTTAAAGAAATGATGAATCGTAAAGGTGATAGTCGATTAGAAATGTTTAATGATGAACTTCTTAATGAAGCATTTCGTATATTTGATAAAGATGGAAATGGTTTTATTAGTGAAATGGAACTTCGTTCTGTGATGAGTAATCTAGGTAATAATGTTTTTTTTTATTTTTTTTAATTGTAAATAAAAGAAAAAGAATAAAAGAAATAAATGAATTATTGTTTTGTTTTTTTGTATTCAATATTATAGGCGAGAAATTAACTGATGATGAACTTAATGATATGATCAAAGAAGCTGATTTAGATGGAAATCATCAAGTTGATTATGCTGAATTTTCTGCACTTGTTCGACGTCTTCTACAAATAGAAAATCTTTCAACAACAATCAATGGAACTGGAGCATATGAAGGACGTGGAATTATTCCATATATTGATGAAGATCTCGAAGAAGAATTTACTGATCATCTCAATGACAATAATAGAAAGTGAAACGACAGATGTATTTATATATTAATGTCGGATGAAGAAAAAGAAAACAAAAATATATATGCAATAATGAGCTCAGAATATTTTTCTATTATTTTTTTCTCCCTCTTCATTTTTGTCTTCATAATGTTTATGGATAATTAAACTTAAAAATATATAAAACAAAAAAATAGAAAAAAAAAACCAAATATTTTCCTATGTAAAGTTTAACAACAACAACAACAACAACAAAATAAAAAGATGCATTGTTCAGATAGAAATCTACATAATGAAATTGCATTTCTATTTTGATTGACATTTATTATGATGATTTATTTTATTTACTTTATATTAAATCATTTTAACTAGCTAATAATTTATACATGTACTCAAAAAAAAAAAATTAATCAAATTTTGTCTGTTTGAGCAAACAAAGAAAAACAAATTGTTTTGCTTGTTGTTTTTTTTTACTATAGACAATAGATGAATAAAAATTAGAAAGGTAATCTTTTTAAAAGTTTATCCGTATCAATATCCTGTGGTAAATCACCAAATATAGAACCACGATTAGGTCCAAGACGTGATGAACAAAATGCATCACTAACTGTTTCTGGTAAATGACGTATAAGTAAAGCAGCTTGAAGACATAATGCTAATTGTGTAGCTAATGTTCGTGCATGACGTTCAAGTATTTCATTAGAAAGATTTTTTGTTAATAAATTTTTTTCAATACGTTCCATTGCTGTATCTAAATATTTATTTGAACCTTTGGTTTCATGCATAAATGATAAATAAGCTTGAAGTGATTCAGGAGATTTTTTCATTGCACGTAATATATCTAAACAAATCACATTACCGCTACCTTCCCTAAAAAAACAAAAATACAATAATCACATCGATAGTGGTTTTTTTTTCTTTTTTGATGAATAAATTTTATCTACCAAATACTATTTAATGGTGCATCACGATATATACGAGGCATAATTGATTCTTCAATAAATCCAGCTCCACCAAGACATTCTAATGCTTCATATGTTGTTTCAGGTGTTCGTTTACAAATCCAAAATTTTGCTATTGCTGTAGCTATACGAGCAAATGCTTTAACTTCATCAATATTTTTTGATTGTTTATTATTATAAGTTGCATCAAATAATGTTGCAAGATACATAACAAGTGCTGTAGCAGCTTCTGATTCAAGTAATAAATCTATTAGAACTTGTTTCATAAGTGGTTGATCGATTAATAATTGACCAAATGCTTTTCGATGACGAGCATGCCAAGTAGCCTAACATAAAAGACAAAAAAAAAACAAATTTCTCTAGAGATAATCATAATTCTCAAAGACGATTAATTCAACATAATAAAGACTATTTCTAATTAAAAGTTTTTTTTTTTCAATATAGTTTTATAATACAAAAAAAAAAAAAGAAAATATCAAATTATTACCTGTAATAAACCTTGTCGCATTAATGCTGCACTTCCAACAGCAGCATCTAAACGTGTACCATTTACCATTTCAATAATAGTTTTAACACCATCATGTTCTTTACCCAGAAGCCACTAAATTATATTTATTTATTTATTTAAATTTAATTTAAAATAATTAAATATTTCTATTTACAGCTTGAGTATTATTAAATTCAATTTCACTTGATGCATTTGATTGATTACCAAGTTTACTTTTTAATCGTTGTATATAAAATGGATTTCGTTCACCATTTGGTAACCATCGTGGAACAAAAAAACAAGATGGTATATTATTTGTTGATGATTTATTATTTATATCATCATTTTGTATATGTGCAAGAACAAGAAAACCATCACACATTGGTGCTGAACAAAACCATCTAATAAATAATAAAAATATAATTATTAAATTAATAATTTATTATAATTAATAAATTTTAAATTTACTTATGACCGATAAGAATATAACGTTTTTCATCTTTATTATCACAATAAGCTTGTGTTGTATTTGCACGAACATCACTACCACCTTGTTTTTCTGTCATTGCCATTCCTTAAAAAAAAAACAATATAAAATAGTATTTTTGTTTTGATAAAATAAATCATCTAACCAATTGTTAATCCAGATTTAGTATTAGCTGGTAAACATCGTCGATCATATTTACGAGATAATATTTTATTTAATGGAAAGCTATTTGTTATATTTGAACTTGTACGATGAAGATATCGATGAAGTACAGGATAACCAGCATATGTCATTGATAAAGGACAACACACACCAGGTTCTACATGACTAAGTATATAAAGTGTTGCCTTGAAACAAAAAAAAAAAACAAATTTCAATTCAATAAAAAAAAACCCAATGTCAATGATTTACTGCATGTTGTAGATGTCCATGTGGATTAATTTCAGTTTTAGTTCCTGATAATGGTTCCCATGCAACAGAATGAACCTATTCAACAAAAAAAAGAAAACAAAATGTTTTCTTTTTTCTCGTATTTATTTGAATTGCTTACACCATATCGCATGCCTATTCCCATAAGATCATGATAAGAAGGATGAAAATGAACTTCATCAATACGTTGTCCATAACGATCAAATTGTTGTAATGTTGGTAGATATCGATTAGCTCGATGTCCTTGTTCAAACCAATGAAAACTACCTAATTCAGCAGCCATTTCTATTGTTTGTCCACCATTTTCTTTTGTAACAAATGTTTGTAATGCTAAATCACTTTCATATAGATCCACAAATTCAAGTGGTGGTACCTGATTTGTTACTTGATGTGTAAATTGTTGTGTCATTGGTCGTCGTGGAGGTTCATAGGTATGCGATGATTGATGACCTTCTGTTACATTTTGTTGTTTTTCTTCTTGATTATTTTCATTATTATTATTAATAGAAGTTTTTACTTGTGTTACAACAGTTCGTTGTAATAATGGTCGACTAATTAATAATAAAGGAGAACGTAGCATTATCACTATGCTTATTTTCTAGAAAGATAATTGCTTAATATCATCATCATCAACATCATCAATGCTTATTTATTACCATATTTTCTTTAATTCAAATTATAATTATAATAATATGTACGATACATGATTAGAACAGAAGCGTAAATTAGTCGTATTTTTTTTTTTAGATTTTTGTTTTTTTAATAAACTAACACTAGAAGGAGGAAGAAAAAAATCGCATAGATCATACAAAACAACAAACACACACAACAGAGACGAAAAAAAAAAAACAAAAGCGAAAGAGCAAAATTAACGTATTTAGCCGCTATACATTATATCTGGTATAAGGTGGAAAAATCTGCCCATATATATGATGTTACATATAAAAGAAACGGGAGAAACGAAAAAAAGAAAAGAAAACAAGATGCATATGCCTAAAAAAAACTCACACGCACGTAAACGTTCCTAATTTATGGCCAATAAAAGCATGAAAAAAAAAATAATGTATGAAATTTTCATTTTTTTATTATTATTTTGCTCTAATTTTGAATAGCTTGCCAAAGTCTTGGATAAACATCTTTTTTGCATTTTTTTGATGTTTTAACAAAATTCATTAAACCTTGATAATCACTTGTATTACCCATAAATAAAAATGCTGAACGTGCATGTTTCATTAATGATGTTAATTCTTCAATATCATTATTTGTTGTCATATGTGCCATTTTATTATGTACACAACGTGTATATGCATGTAAACATTTTTGCATTAATGATTGTACAAATGGTAAACGTAATATTTGATTTGATGATGAACCATTTGGATTATTTTGTGAAACATTATAGATATTAAATGCAAGACTATGTAATAAATATGGATTAACAATAACAGCTGTTGCTGTTGTAACAAATTCTTGTAATTCAGCATTGCCTAAATAGAATTGAAAGAAAAAAAATATATAGTTTTTGTATTTAAAATACTGGATGATCTTTTTAATTGAATTTCCTTTTTTTTTTGTTTTTTTTAGAGGAAAAAATTGTACAAAAATGATTATTTTCTCATACCTAATTTAAGTGCAATTTTTAAAAGCCATTTGACATCTTCACCATAACGTGGTGTTGGATGATTTTGTTCACTACGTCGTTCCATATGTGCATGATTTTGACGAGCTCGTTCTAATGCAAGTGTATTCATTGCTAACATACCAACACGAAATGCATTAAGTAAATATTGACGATGATTTGGATCCGTTTGCTGTTGTTGTTGTTGTTGTTGCTAAAAATGAATTATTAATTAAGAGAAAAAAAATTTTTTTTTCTTTTTGAATAAAAAAATAATTTTTACTTCAGCTGATGGTGTTGTACTTGGACTAGTAACATTTGTTTGTTGTGTTGTCGTTGTTGCTGAAGGTGAAACATTTGGTTCTGTTACTGGTGATATAACTAATGGAATTTGTCTAATAGGATAAAATGTTTGTTGTTGTTGTTGTTGCTGTTGATTTTGATTAGGAGAATAAATTTGTGGATTTCCTGTTTGTGTTACATGATGTACAGTATATGCTGTAGGAAAATTTCCTGGACTAACAAGTATAGCATTAGCCATTTGTGGAGGTGGTGGATGACGATGATGATGTGAATGCGGATGAAAATTATTTGTTGGACCTGTATGAAAAGCAAAATGTTGTTGTTGTTGAGATGAATATTGTATTGGAATGATTTGTTGATATGGTACTTGTTGATGAAAACTTCCTAATTGATGATGATGCATTGGTGGTGGAGGTGGTGGTGGTGGTGGAGGACCATGTTGTGCTTGAATCATATAAGCATGAGTATTAAAATGTGTTGATGGATGTGATTGAAATGGTGTTGAAAAATTTGTATTTTGATTATTTGTTGTATACATCATTGGTGATGGTGATGTTGTTGTTGATGATGAATTTGTACTATTTGTATGTGTCCAATGTAAATCAATTGGATTTGTTGGTATTACAGTTGGATTATTATCAAATGTTTGTCGTATATCAACAACAGTTGTATCATCATCACTATTTAATGAATCACCTGTACGTTCATAATACATTTCATACCAACGTTTAGCAACTTCAAATAAAATATCAATAAATACTAAATTACCATCACGTGTGGCATTTTCAATTGTTGTTAATGCACGTTCAAGCATATCAATATTTTGTTCTTTACATTGTGCTAATGCTTGACGTATTTCAGCTGCATTTAATGCATGTGCATATTTTAATGTTGATAATGCTAATTCAGCAGCTGTACGTACAACAGCATTATCACGTGAACGTGATGCACGATCAGCTATAGCAGCACATTCAGGTGGTGTTAATTGTCCTTCCCAACATTCAATTAATATTAATATTGCTTGTAAACCAATATCAATAGCTGTTGATGTTATCCATGAAACAAGACTTGAATATGTACGTATCATCCAATTTATTTGAACATGATTATTAACACCAAGTGCATAAAGTGCAATTGTTATTGCACATAAATGTAAATTTCTATGTGGTGGTGGATAATTATGTGTTGGACCAACAAAAAGTGATGTTGATGTTGTACCACCAGCACGTTGTACAAGTGTTTTAGCTAATTCAAACATAAAATGACATAATGCTTCAGATGGTTGATTAGGTATACATGGTGAACGATTTTTTCCATTCGATGTATTCATATGACCTTTCGAATGTTTTAATATATGTGAATTGGGTGAAGATTGTTGTTGTTGTTGTTGTTGTTGTAAATTAATAGATTTTGGTATTGTTGAAGTATTTCTTGTTGTTGTTGTTGTTGTTGTTGTTAAATGAAGTGTTGGTGAAGAAAGAATTTCTGGTGATGATATATTCATATCCATACGTGATGGAGATTCATTTCGAACTATGAAAAAAAATGTTTTTATTTTAAAGAAGGGTTACGATATCGAACTAAAGCTGTAGGGTTTATCCAAATGAGGTTACAATCATTTTTTTTCAAGAGCTTCTTTCAACGTAAAACAATTATCGATTTCTCAAAAATGAATGTTTAGGTAAAGCGAAAATGGAGTTATCACCTTGTTGAAAGACAAAAAAAAGAAACTTGAAAAAGTGCGTTTTGTAGTGCAGCTTATCATCTACAACCTGATATGCAATGGGTCTCCAAAATTATTCAACAAGGTTTAATTCGGATTTTTTTTCGTGGCCCTTAAGTGCTAGAAAGAATCCAAATAGTGATTTGAATAGAGAATATTGTTGTCAACAAGAATCCGAAAAAATGATAGTCGTCATGAATTTTCCCAAAATAGGGTTTCTAGAAAACCAAAACCCTGATTTTTCAATGTTCAGAAGCCGCAATAGAAAATTTGTTTTAATAGTCTAGAATTATAGAGTAGCCAATTCTCTACAAAATGAGACGTCTCCGAGCTTTCTACGACCTTCCCTTCAAAAGTTATAAGCATTACAAAAATCGAAAAAACAAATGCAATTTACGAGAAAATCGATTAAAAAAAAAGCATTTTTTTGATTTTTGTGACGCTTATAACTTTTGAAGAGAAGGTCGTCGAAAATTCGAAGACGTCTCATTTTACAGAGAATTGGCTGCTCTATAATTCTAGACTGTTAAAACAAGTTTTCTGTTGCCGCTTCTGAATGTTAAAAAATCAGGATTTTGGTTTTCTAGAAACTCAATTTTCGGAAAAATTCATGACGGTTATCATTTTCTCAAATTCTTGTTGGCAACAATATTCTCTATTCAAATCACTATTTGGATACTTTCTACTATTTAAGGTCACGAGAAAAAATCTAAATTGCATCTTGTTGAATCCCAATAATGAAAATCTAACAATTTTTCGAGCTTTTCAAAAATTATTTTATTACGCTCAAACAACATTTCTAAGGTCATATTCGAAAAGAATACAAATTCATAGCTCTTGACTCATCAGAAATACTTTCTCGTGGATCAAAAGGTTGACAACTATCTTGTCTAAATACTTTCAAATTACTGATTAATTTAGATTAGTCTCAACTACAAAATAATATATAGCTTCATAGGTACGAACATATTTCTCAAAAATCATGACTTGAATTTCGAGTCAATTAGTTTTAAAATGATATGATTGAACTTATGAAACTAATATAATTTTTAGCAGTCGAGATGATTCTGGATTAAAATGCTACTAAAAATAGATCGAAAAATTTCTATAGAACTCTTGAGTCCTGTTTAAATAAATATTATTATTATTAAAATCTAACCATTTCGTTGTATTGTATCACGTTCACTATCACTTTCTGAATCAGCATTTGCTTTTGATGATGATATACGAATATTTCGACGTGATACAGTTGGTGAATTATCACTTGAATTTGTTTCTGGTGCACTACTATCAATACTTGTAAAACCTAAATAAACAACAACAACAACAACAAAATTATATAAAATTTGAATATTATCTAATTACCATTTGATATACGTTTTGAACTTGTTTTTAAATTTAAACAACGAAATTTAGCTTCCCATGCTTTTTGATCAAAATTTTCACCTTCACTTTCATCTAAACCAGAACTATCTATTTCAGTTAATTGTTCACCATTTATATTTGATGCTGTTGTTGTTGTTGTTGTTAATAATTTTTTATGTTGTGAACGATTTGATACTGATGATGATGATGATGATGATAATAATGATGAATTTGTATTTGTTTGTTGTGATAATATTGATGTTTGATTAAGTTTTTTTGAACCAACATTAAATGGATTTATATTTGGATTTTTAAATAAAACATGTATATCACGATCAAGTAATTTATCAAGAATTTGTATTAAACGTCCTTGATCATCTTTATATAATGTTAATAAATTAAGTGCAAGATCACTACGTTGACGACGAATACCTTCACATAATATTGGATTTTGAGCTACAAAAAAATAATAATAATAATTCAATGAATTTTTTCGCAAAGAAATCTACCTTCAGATATATAACATTTAGCTCCAAGTGCACAAATAGCTGTATCAAATGCAAGTAATTCA